AAAAAAAAAAAAAAAAAAAAAAGAAAAAAAAGAAAACAAAGGCAATTACAAACTTTGAATAGACATACCACCCAAAACATAAATATAAATTAAAATCTCTCAAAATAAAATGGACAAGACAAACCTTAAGCTGAGGGCAATAGGGAGACATTAGCAAGCTGAATAGGATGCGGCACAAAGATCTGAGCCAACAACAAGCAAGGAAGACAAAGGCAAAGGAGGGAGAGCTGTGAGCCATGCAGGCAGACGGACCACCAGCACCTGTCCAAGGCCGCCTCAAGAGAAGAGGACAGGAAAAGAAGGGCAGGAGAAGAGCAGAGGCCTAAACAGGGCAAGTTAGGGACAGCACAGTAGGGAAGGGCAGAGGGAAGAAGATCAGGGAGGGAGAAAGTGAGATGTGGGGGTCAAGAGAAACATGAAGGTTTGGAGAAGAGAAGGTAGTAAACAGAAATACCAGATAAAATTACAGAAACAAGTCACTCGGTTACCAAAATAAATACATGGAAGGCAGCCTCTAGTGCACCCTCAACAATCCCCACTCCTGGCACTCTCTCCTGTGTAACCTCTCATGTTCAGGTGGACCTGGTAATGACCACCAATAAGCACAATAGGGTGAAAGGGTGGGATATCACTTTTGAGACTTGATTTTTACTTTCTGTCCCGCTCACACTCTCTCCCTGTCTCTGCTTGCTCACAGAGATGAAGCAGCTTCCATTTTCTGGGCTACCCAATAGACACCCACATGATAATGAACTGAGGGTGTGCACCGGGCCAATAGCCAGTGAAGAATTGAGGCCTTGGTCTATCAGCCCTCTAGGAACTGGCTCCTGCCAGCAGGCATGAGTGAGCCTGGAAGAGGGTCCGCCCTGGGGAGCCTTCAGATGCACAGCCAACCCTAGCAGGCATTAACTACAGCACTGCGACAGGCCCTGAGGCAGGGCCCCTGACTCGGTCATGCCGAAACCTCTGATCCATGCATGCCAGTAGATAATAACTGCTTATTGATTTGAGCCACTTAATTTTCTAATTATTACTTAGCAATAGATAATGAATATAAAATGTAAATTGATTAAGGGGGAAAGATGATCATTTCAGATAAAAGAAAAAGCTACACTATATGCTATTTACAAAAGATCCACCCCCCCAACTAATAGTCTTACAAAATAACCAAAAAACTCTTCACTGGACATAAGTATATACTGCACTGTCTACTGCTGTACCTGTTAGATTTTCCTTGCCTTGAGATGGCTGCTACATAAAACAACCTTCTCCTTCTCATGTTGCCCTACTTCACATTTAGAATATGGCTTCTTCCACCAAAAGGACAACCTTCTTCTGCCCAAAATGCCCCTCTTCCCGCCAAAAGAGTAACCCAATACTTGTACCTTCCTAGCGACTAGTAATGTCACAGGCTCCTTCAATCCCTTACCTCTATATCACTCGACCCCACCCCAGCTCCTACTAGAAGCACTCTCTGTCTAGGCCATATTGCTTTCTCTCCTTTGTTCAGAGACAGTCCGGCAGATTCTCTTCATAATAAAAGTTTCTTATGGTCCTGCTCTGGTCCTGGTTTTTGGCTCTTTTTACCTAACAGTACCTACATTCAAAAAAAAAAAGACAACAATGACCTGCAACAGGGAGATAAAACAACAGAACTGGATCATCAATGACTCAGATACTGGCATTAACACATAAACACACAGGCTTGTGTGATTATCGTATGAAAGATATCATGTGAAGAGGGGGGAATTTCTACAGAGTAATGAAAACATTCTGGTCTCCATTATTTACGATGAAAAATCAGCTATTAATCTTATTGAGGATTCGTTGGATGTAATGGGCCACTTTTCCCTTGTTACTTTCAAGATCTTTTCTTTGATTTTGCCTTTTTGTCAGTTTAATTACAATGTGCTTAGGTGTGGATTTCTGTCAGACCTTGTGCATAGTCCTACCTTTGT